GGGGGTCCCGCCGAGAGCCCGCACCCTCCCCAGCTCCTTCCCGGTGCTCCCTGCCCGTCACCTCCACCAGCGAGGGGATGAAAACCCCGCTAGCTGCCCGGGAGAGGGCACTGCTGCCCTGCTTTTGGGATAATCTGAACCTTTCCACGTTTTCTAAGGGAGAGAAAAAGCCGTTTCAGCCCTGCCCAGCGGAAGGAGTCCCAGCGCATCCCGGGGGGGCCGCTCGGTGAGGAGAGACCCGGCTCGGGTGATCAGAGACCCGCTCGGGTTAGCAAAACCTACGTTCCTTTTAAAAAGACCGAAAATTTTCATTTCGTGAAAGCTGTAAGATTGCTTAAGTGGGGCAATTTGTTACACACTACAGGTGCTCTGTACAGGCGGTATGAACTAGCTGCTTTGCATAACAAGAAGAATTCCCGTAAGAAACCTAATGAGCAGAACAAAGTATGTTGGGAACAAAAGAGTGTACTTAAGGAAGGAGACTAGAAACGGAAGTAAAAAAACCCAAAACAGTAAACCGTTTTTGTCTCATTCTTCCTAAAAATACTAATTTGAAATCTGAGACAAATGCAGAGAAATACATTTATAACAATCTTTGTACAACTTTAAAAAGGCATACATAGCCTTGGAAGCACTAAAATATAACAAAAGAGAGACCAAATGTAATCTTTTGATGTAGCAATACCATCTGAAGTCTGTTTACATATTCTTTACATTTCTATCTATTTTTGTTAGTCCAAAGAAGAAATCACAAAGTATTAAGACCCAATCCACCCCATTTAGGGCTCAGAAGCAGATGGGGCATCACTGTTGTAATAAAACCTTACTGAGATACACCGATCTGGGCAACGAGCCTAGTGTGTATCTGTTCTCTTACAAGTGTACTTTGCTCAGGTATATCCCTGACCTAAAACTCTCTCCCCTCCACATTCCCCAAGCGATCTGGAAGAGCTTATATTAAAGACTTACTTGTTCCTCCTTACCAAAACCAAGTGGGAATGTTTTATTAACAGCTAAAGAAAGTCAGAATTGATTCTTGGTCTGTAGCTAAAGAAGATTTCTCGGTTATTATTGATGTTCTTCGTTGTTCCCCAGTAAAGCAGCTCAGTAAGTATTTATAGCTGCTGAGATTCCCCAGAAGAATGCTTTGGTACTCTGTGTTCAGACAGCTCATATAGATGCTTTTACTACCTGTTGCCTCTGTTTTTTAGCATCTTTTGAGTTTTTCCTCGGTTCAGTCTCCCCTTCATGTGAACTGTGTAACCTCTCCCTGAAAGAAATTAACAAGAAAAATAAAACAAAATTGTTGACCGAGTTTTTCAAATGCTACAATTATCTCTTAAACTAAATAAATTTTGATAAGAGAAGCAAGGCGCTTGCTACACAATTATAACTTCTGCACTCACTGGTTTCAGCTGCCCCGTTGAGGCGGCCAAAAGAAAGTTGCATAAAGATAAACGTTCCTTTGTT